CTATCATTGCTGCGTATACTTTTTATGTTATATGAATTACTTGACTTACCTGTAAATTCCTTTAAGACTCCCCAAATGGATTTAGATTCATTGTCATCTGCTATAATTATTTTTTGATAATGTAATATTTTTGATATTTTATTAGAATGTTTATCAGATTCCTATAGGTAGCAAGTACTTATAGATAAATTATTTTTATTTCTAACTGAGACAACTAACCCTTCAGTAATCCATTCTTTAAGCTTTTTTTTTTTTGTATGCTTTTTAAATGGTCTAGTGAAATTGTAAGATGGGAGAAAAATAAGTTTAATTGTGTTATTAAATGATTCATATGCTTTATTTTAACATTGTTGTTACCTAGTACATTCAGTACTAATTATCAAATTTAGATGCTTTACGTTAATCTTATTTACTGCCTCAGATAATTTAATGTTAGTGTTATCGGATAAATCAGTACTATACTGAGAGGATATCATTGTAGCATAATGATCAGTGAGATCTGATTTTACAATATATGAGTTTACAAAATCAGTATCTATATTTTTAATAAACATGTGCTCTATACACGATTGCGACGTTTTGACATAGGCTCAATTTGGGGGGGGGTCTAGGGGGCTTAGCCCTACCTAGTTTTATTCAAGCCCCTCCTAAGTTTTTAATTATATTCATTCTTAAATCCACCTAATAAAAAAATTATGCGGGTCTAATATACATCCACATCTCATTAGTTGGTTGTGATGAACATAACGTTTTTTTTTTGCTTTTATTTTTTGATTTACCAATGATTTGTTGTTGTGTAATATTGAGAACCTAATAACCGTAATATAAAAAAGGTGGGTAAGTGGATGTCGCTCTGCTGTACAGTAGGTTACAAGTGGTCACTGTATAATGGGTGCTATTAAATTTGAATTCAATGATACAATATCATTGTATAAGAAAAACGATTCTGAGCAAAGACGGTATGTCAGTCTAGGTTTAAGACAAATTATATACATATCAATGGTATTAAAAAAAAATTGACCTATAATAAATTCCAAATTAATCATATCACATTATCTCAATATCCATTAGGTACTTATAACACGTTATACATCAACATCAATAACAAACCCTGATACTATCATAGATATATAATAGTACACTTTAGAAGTTTCAAGTAGGTACCCACGAATAATATTATATAATATCACAACAAAATAACTAGGTTTTTTAATATGTAATTTCGTCCAAATTTGAACATAAAATGACTATAAAAATAAACTGTGGTTGTATATTTTTTAGATTTTTCGGTAAGAGAATTAACTACTTACGTGGAATCTTGTTTTAAATTTTCAATCCTTAGCTATAAAAACTGAACATTTTATAATTTATTAATTACGATGATTAATAATTTTCGAGATTTTGAAAAAATTCTGTCAAAATTCGATGTTTAAATGCTTATAAAAAAAAAATTGTGCCTATGTATTTTTAATATTTTTCAACTGATATTGTAACAATATATCAGGAGCCTTGTATTAAATTTTTACACTTTTTGGCCCAACAGATAAAACTTTATTGATATTCATAGAAAAAAAAACTAAAAAAATTGAAAAATGAAAATATCCGTAAACAGCTCAAAAAGAGTCAAAATATTTTCAAAATTGTATGGTGTATAGGAAATGCTAATATAAACATTCAGTGAAATTTTCTTGTATCTATAGTTATTCGTTTATGAATAACAACAAAATAAGGAAATCGCTACATGAGAAATCGAGTGAACATTCAATGTTGTAAAAATTTGAATTTCAAACACTCATAAAAATTTAATTTTACTGTCCGGTAGAGATTTTTTTATTGATAAAGGTAGACAAACTTATGAGTAATCTTGTATTACATTTTCAAATCTTAGATTTAAAAAGAAAATTTTTTACGAATTCTTAACTCAAAATAATTTGCTAATTTTCGTGATTTTTCCATATTTTGTCAATTTTTGAACTTTAAATGCTTATAAAAAAAAACTGTGACTAAGGATTTTTAATATTTTTCATCTGCTTTTGAAACAATATACTAGGAGCCTTCTATTAAATTTTCAAGCTTTTTTTATCCAACAAATAAATTTTTATTGAAATTCATAAAAAAAAAAACTAATAAAATTGGAAACTGAAAATGTCCTTAAACAGTTCAAAATAAATCAAAATATTTTGAAAATGTTATCGTGTATAGAAAATGCAAATACAAACAACCACTGAAAATTTCATGTATCTACGGCCATTTGTTTTAAAGTTACACCAAAAACCAAAATCGATTTTCTCGAAAACAGATTTTGCGTAAAAATTCCCGTTTTTCCTTAATTTTTCTTTTGTTTTTCCCGGCGCTTTTGAAAACTGCTGGGAAATTTTAATTTTGACCTCCCCAATGCACCAACGATATTCACATTCCAATCGAACAAGATACTGAAGTCGAAAATCGAAGCATATTTCGACTACTTATCGTGTACACAGACACAAAAAAAATAAAAAATAAAAAAGCACATATCATTGTAAAATCAATACATTCATCGTTCCACTCAGAATCTAAAATTGAGGACAAAATTAAAAACTGAATCTAACGTAGTACTGTGTTTGTATTATGTAGGTATTTATCAAATATTCAAATGTATGACTTACTTCTTCATCTAAAATAATTTTAGATTCTGAGCGGAGAGATGAATGTATTGATTTTACAATGATGTGTGTTTTTTATTTTTTATTTTTTTGTCTGTCATCACGGTTTGGGGCAGTAAAACTGCTTTGATTTTAGTCAAAGTGAATCTAGTTGGTGCATTCGGGAGGTGAATTTCTCAATAGTTTGTAAAAGCGCCAGGAAAAGCAACATAAAAATTAAAGAAAAACGGGAATTTTTAAGCAAAATTGATTTTGTTTTTCCGCGGAACTCTAAAACTAATGACACAGAATCTTACTATGTGGTTGTAATTTATGTAGTTTTTCTAACTCAAAACAACAAATACACTATTGGTTAGTAGTAAACCTAATACCTAATACATTTATTACATAAACACCAACCGTTTACATTCATTTTTGAACGACCTCCAATAATTGTTCTTACATATCTGGTTCATTTGTACACGGCTAAATATCAGCCATATCAATATCGTTCACAGTGGGCTAAAAATTATATGGACGTAATGACATATTTTAATATTTTAATACACTGTCAAAATCAAATCAAAATTGTCATAAAACATATTTTGCTTGTGGGAGAACACTTCTTATAGGTAAATTATAATATAATATAATATAAAATATAACATTATATAGGTATTTAAATTTAACTAGTTCAACCTTATATAAAATATGTATGTAATTAACAAATTATTATTATTGATAAATAAAAATGATAATAATTTATAATACATTACTTTAACTTGTAAAACAACATTCCAACAATGAATATATAAAGTTGACAAATACGTCGGTTTACAAAGACGTATAAACGTAAAATGCGGTTGATCGACGTTCGTAGAATACGTCTTATTTTGGATAAAAATAATTAACCAAATAGAGTATTTGTATACGTCCTGTACATTGTTGTGATTACGAAGTAATTTATAATATAATTGAATATAACAAAAATTATAAATAAATAATCTAGACCTCGTCGGCGAATGGCGATTCCTGTTTAAAAGAATAGGCCGTCGGCGCGCCGTTCGGTCTTGTGAAGTCACGCACACACGCGGCTATCTCTCTTGGGCTCCATCGCCTCAACGAATCGACGTATACAAATTTTAGTACCACCGTTAGTAAGTTATAGTAATTAACTAACTATTAGTTAAGCTAAATCATTTTTTTGTTTCATGGTCTTTTAAGGTTTTCTAAAATTACAGCATTTACGTTTTTAAACAAATTAATATAGGTATTATAAAATGATGTTAGACCTTAGACTCCATAATAAAAAGCGTTTTTGTATAGAATTATTAGTAGGTAGGTACTTTTTTCCCATGAAGTTCACCGAAGTAATTACTTCTTAAATTTTTTTTCCCGATACTACGTCACTATCGTTACTATTAGTTATATTTGTTTTAGCACCAGATTCAACCATTTTACAATCATTACAATTTACAGACAACCTCATTTTAGAATTATTTGACAATTTCTTAAAATAATTATCCGGAAATTTCATTATTTAGAAATGCAGACCGCCAGTGCATGTTGAGCAAACAATATTGAATCCTCACCTTGAATAAAGGAATCGTGACATTTTGTGCACTCTGTAACATAGTAACCAAAATAGAATACTGGACGAATTATATAACGATAGCGTATATTATGAACGATTAGACTGATCGAAAGTTATATCAGTTATACAATTTATCTATAATATTCTGTGGTTATTCCAAGTATTCCAACACCCATAAGTTGTTACGTAATTACATAGGAAATGATATGAGAGAGCACTGAAAGGAAAAACCACCGTTCAGAACGGAAGCCCGTACTGTACAGTGGTACGATGACACGATGTATTAACTTCATCATCTTCTGATTTTTTCTTTACAAAATATTTAACTAAATTACGCTTATTTGTAAAATTAGTAGGAGTGAATTGTGTAAATTTAGTCCATCTCCGGCACTTCAATTCAAAATATTAAGGTAACTGTGTTAAATTAATTTAAATCAAAGAATAATTATAACAATGTAAGCTGACGACCTGACTAAAATCTAAAAACAATACAACTCTAAAATAATCAACATACTTTTTAATTTTGTATTGGACTAATGCAGTTTTGTACTACTACACTGAGTGTCTACTGCACATTATTTTAGGCTGTGGTGTTTAACTGTGATGAAATATATCATAATTTTATTATTATAGATATTTAAATAATTTTCATTACAATAAATTATGGTTAACTATAAAATAAATAAATATATAAATAGATTTTATATTAGCATAATTCAAGTGTCTTTTAAATTGTTATCTAATGCATTTTTCAAAAATAAAATTTCTAGGTTCATGAAGAAAAAATGGTATCAACAAGATTGAACAACCGTGAGAGACAAACTACAGATAAAAAAAACTGTTATACTTGTAATGCCTGTGGCAAAAAATTTACCACAAAACATCAAATTGCTATCCATTGTCAATTGCATTTCGGTGAAATTCCATCTCGGAATGAGGTTTGTGTATTTAAAAATATCTTAACATAGAGGCTGATCAAGTCTGCTCAAAATCATTTTTTAATTTGTAATTAGTAATTACCATTGGGTAAATAAACGTACTATAGTAAGCTTTTTACAAACTATACGTAGATAAAAAAAAAAAACAGTTCAATTTAAGAGGACGTCATACCAGCATGTGTTGTTGTCTCGGTGGCGGGCCATGATGGGCCGTGGCCCACCACAAATTCAAATTTATATTTAAAATTAATCATAATCAGCTATTGAAAATTATCTCATGATTTATAAAAATATAAAAATATTGAGTCGTAATAATAATCAACAATTTGAATAGGCTGAAAAATATGCACTATGTATTCAAGCCTTATAGGTAACGTGTGTTTACCAGTGTCTCAGAACGAAAATAATTGATAATTAATTAGTAAATACTTTTAAAAAAGAATGCTTATTACTAGGGTTCGGATTTGAAGGCAAATGCCTTTCTTTTATTAATCATTATACAAAAATGTGTTTCATTTAATTTCTTAGAGAATGGATCTTTTTTTTTTTTGCCTTTTTTTGCCTTTTTACTTATAAATGCCTTTTTGCCTTTTTTTACCTTTTGTTTATTTTGCATTAAATTAACTGGTATAACTCAAGTAAGTTAATATTTAAAATTGTTTTTAACTAATTCTTAGGACAAACCTGGTTAAAGAAAAAGGTACCTAATCTATTTATACAAAATAGCATAAACTTAATGTAGTTTAGTATTCATGCTCATTTTTAATTTGTAATTTTCTCAAAATGTGTGCATTTAAAAGTGTTTAAAAAAGGTTCACTATTTTATTTTGTAGTATATTTATGAATTGCCTTTTTATATAAATTAAATGCCTTTTTTTACATTTTAAATGCTTTTTTTATTGATTATATTGCCTTCAAATCCGAACCGTACTTATTATGTGAGTTGTATACCTATTTGAATTTATTGGTAGGTATTACTACATATAATATTTATTGTCAGTTTAAAATATTTGTAATGTTTTATAATAATTATACTACAATTAATTGATGCCTAATGGTGTAATTTTGAGTTTGGGAGGAAGCATCTTAGGTACTCAGGATTTCTTTATCGAGGGAGTTACAAAAATAGAAAATTAAAAACCATCAATTATTAGTAAATAGCATTATATTTACATTCATTTTTTAAGTAGGTATATAAAAAAAGGTTACATCAATAGATGTTGCAGTAAAAAAAAAACCTTATGCAAGTCCCTGTCGCCACTATTGTTTTTATATACATGATGATTCACCAAGCATGCTAACCCCTTTTTTTCTTCAATAATGCAGTTATTCAATATCTGATTTTTTTGAATTTTTCAATATACTTTAAGAGGACGCTACACCCGCATGTGTTGTCTCCGTCTTACACATGTACGACATAGACAAAACGCGTTTAGGCAGTCTGAGTATAACTCGCTCAATTTTGGTTCGAAAGTAAAAATACCTATGATAAAATTGAATTGTGATAATATTTCTAAGGGCAAGATGCTGCGGTTTTTTTTTAAAAATTTAATTTTTTAAAGTTCTTGGAATTTTTTGTGATACCCAAGGAGTGTCTTGTGGAGATGTAAACTTCTAAATAAATAGATCATAATTTTATTATTATAGATATTTAAATAATTTTCATTACAATAAATTATGGTTAACTATAAAATAAATAAATATATAAATAGATTTTATATTAGCATAATTCAAGTGTCTTTTAAATTGTTATCTAATGCATTTTTCAAAAATAAAATTTCTAGGTTCATGAAGAAAAAATGGTATCAACAAGATTGAACAACCGTGAGAGACAAACTACAGATAAAAAAAACTGTTATACTTGTAATGCCTGTGGCAAAAAATTTACCACAAAACATCAAATTGCTATCCATTGTCAATTGCATTTTGGTGAAATTCCATCTCTGAATGAGGTTTGTGTATTTAAAAATATCTTAACATAGAGGCTGATCAAGTCTGCTCAAAATCATTTTTTAATTTGTAATTAGTAATTACCATTGGGTGAATAAACGTACTATAGTAAGCTTTTTACAAACTATACGTAGATAAAAAAAAAAAACAGTTCAATTTAAGAGGACGTCACACCAGCATGTGTTGTTGTCTCGGTGGCGGGCCATGATGGGCCGTGGCCCACCACAAATTCAAATTTATATTTAAAATTAATCATAATCAGCTATTGAAAATTATCTCATGATTTATAAAAATATAAAAATATTGAGTCGTAATAATAATCAACAATTTGAATAGGCTGAAAACTATGCACTATGTATTCAAGCCTTATAGGTAACATGTGTTTACCAGTGTCTCAGAACGAAAATAATTGATAATTAATTAGTAAATACTTTTAAAAAAGAATGCTTATTAGTTATTACTAGGGTTCGGATTTGAAGGCAAATGCCTTTCTTTTATTAATCATTATACAAAAATGTGTTTCATTTAATTTCTTAGAGAATGGATCTTTTTTTTTTTTGCCTTTTTTTGCCTTTTTTTACCTTTTGTTTATTTTGCATTAAATTAACTGGTATAACTCAAGTAAGTTAATATTTAAAATTGTTTTCAAACAATTTACTATTTTAGAATACTTATAACTTACTTTGAAATTAAAATATAATTAAAAGCCTATGAGGTGACCTGGAATGTAGGTAATAAGTAATAACCTTTACATTTTATAATAGATAATTTCACCCTAATTTTAGAAATTACAGAGTAAAATGTACTATTGTGAACACAAAATGATGAACACATGCATGTGTGGCGTCCTTTTAAGTATACAATTATTTTAAATTTTTGTTTTAACATTAAGCATCAACAATTATCATTGTAGGTTCTATGATCCTTTATATCTTTGACAACAATATTTGTTGTCGTTCCTATTTACATTTTTATACGTAATGAGTTTTTGTTTTTTTTTTTCACTAAATCCACATACCAACCTGCCTAAATATTACGTCATCTGTAATTGGATGAAGTTTAAATTATGTTACAACAAATATAAAAATGTATGAAAATTGTTTATTGAAAAGTATTATAGGTATTATAATATGCAAAATAGAATATTTTATGATAGTTCCATCTCTTAAAGAATGGATACTCTCTAAAATCAAATTTGTTTGATATCATTAATATGGATTAAAAATATAAAACAAATTTGATTTTAGGGAATGTCTATTCTTTAAGATATTATACTCTTATACTTAAATTAGGTATTCACAACTTTAGAATGCAGTATTACATATTTTAAAATCTATTCAACTTCAATTTTTCTTTTATTACAAAATGTATTCAATGTTTTGTGTGATGAAATATCAGATATTAAATCTTTAAATAATTTTTATTATAATAAATTATGGTTCGCTATAAAATAAATAAACACCTATATAATTAGGTTTTAAATTTGAATATTAAATGTGTGTCTATCAAATACTTATTTAACTCATTTTTTAAACGATTGTTTTCTAGGCTCTGGCTGGTGAAGTAACTAAGTCAACTAAGACAAAACAAAAATGTTTTATTTGCGATGTTTGTCATGCAACATTCAAAGAAAAACACCACGTGGCACGGCATTGCAAAATTCATACTGGTGATAAACCATATGGGTGTACTATATGTGGAAAGTTGTTTAGAGACCAATCAAATTTAAAAAACCATAAATGCACCCGGACAGTGGAAAAACGGTTTCAATGTACCCAATGTGGGAAAAAGTTTATGAAAAATGATAATCTCCTAGTTCATTATAGGACACACAGTAACGAAAAACCATACAAGTGTGATGTATGTAATAGAACATTCTCTACTAGTGGAAATCTATCAAGACATAAACGGACAGAACCAAAACGTTTGGCTAGAGTTTTTGGATATTTTGATTTTAATAGAACTTTAGTTCAATAATAATTTGTTAAAATGTGATAATATTGTAGTAAAGTAATCATTTAATTTTAGTTATTGTATTATTTAGTAAAATTGTTAAAAATTTGTAATTTTTTTTTAAAATATTCTCTATAAATATTTCACTTTGTAAAAATTTGAAAATGTATGCAAGGTTCCTTTATAAGTTTCAACAATGTAATTTTAAATTTAAATTCGAATATTATATAACATTTTTTTTTGCATATTATTATAAACATTTAATATTCATATTATATATAATTTTCTTTTTACATTTTATTATTAATATTCTAAACAATTTTTAGACTTTGAGAGGAACAAAGAAGCTAGTGGTCTTACAATGGTTTTACTAGAGATGGAGAATTTACGTAAAAAAAAATATTGCTAAAGTTTGGTAACTCACCAAGGTGGTAAAAATGGGAAAATAGCTAAATCTTAGAGCCATTGTTATTTTTTACTATTACACATTAGTAAATACAATTTGTATTTGGTACCTACTAATATTGTATACCTACTTGTTAAATCTAATTCTTTCTAATAATAACAATAATTAACAAAAAATCTAAAATATGATAATATATATTATCTATTGTTCTGTATTAAACATTAGTAATTAGTACATTTTATTAAATATGAATATTTAATTATTCATATTACAATTAATAAATAATTTAAATTAAACTAAACTATCAAAATTCACATAACCTTTATTACTTTTTAAGTCTAAACATGTATATTTAGACTTAACTTTTGTATTAATAATAATTTATAGTATATTATCAATATCATATTATCTGCGATCTGCCTATATAAAATGTTTCCTAATTACCTACTGATATTTAATGTTCTAAAGCAGGGGTCTCCAAACTACGGCCCGCTGGCCGGATACGGCCCTCGAACAAGTTTTAACCGGCCCGTGGCCCGCATAGGACGCATAGGTAAATATAGATAAAAAAATTATTTAAAAAATGTATTTATATTATATTATATTTATACCTATTTATTTTTATTTAAGTATATTGTAAAGTAAACAATATTCTATACAAAAATATAAAGTAAACATATTATTTATATAGGTACCTATATTATCATAAAGTTAAAAATTATATGTGTTAATAAACTTTTGGCCCGCTAAGAGCATTTGATTTTTTTGTGGCCCTTGAATAAAAAAGTTTGGAGACCCTGTTCTAAAGTATAGTAGGGTTGGTAGACTATTGATACTATCTATAGTCTATAACAAACTACATAAACAATAACAAGTATATCAATATTATAAATGATAATATCACTGTATCAGTTGATGAAAAAGATATCTCTTTACAATTCAGACTAGGGGTTTTTGATTTCAATTAATTAGAGGGCCCACACAACATTTTTTTTGGTAAAAAATAATTTACCGGTAAAATTTACGGTCAATTATTTTACCGGTAAAAAGTTACCTGGTAAATTTACAGTACTCACATCTCTAGGTTTTAGAATGGGTTTTTTTTTTTATCTTGTATATAAAATTTCTACCAGGAGGAGGCTCCAATTGTAACATAAAGTCTTATCTTTTAGAAAATTGCTTCTTTAGAAAGATCAATTTTTGATTTTCTCAATAGTTATTTACCACGAGAAATACCACTGACAAATTACAAAATACCAAACTTTAATTTTCAAACTACTTTGTCTAGTTTAGAGTCATGATAATTTTTTTAAATTTTGCAAATTATGTATCAGTTAGAAATTTATAAAAGTATTTTTATAAATTGAAAACCGATTATGCGTTAAAATTCTCGTTTTGTCTTAATTTTTCTTTGTTTCCTCAGGCACTTGAAAACTACTGGTAATTTTGACCTCCCCAATAATAGTCAATGAACCAACTATATTCACTTTTCCACCGGAAAAGATACTAAAGTTGAAAATCCAACCATTATTTCGACTACCTACTTATCTTTACCACAAACACACAAAAAAAAAAAAATTTGTACCTATCAATATCTAATATATTTTTAAATTGATATATAATAACTTATTACTTAACTTAGGTATTACTTTCCTTTTCAACCTTTTTAACTAGTCGATATTTATGAGAAAAAAATTTAAATGTTTATAACTTACTCAAAAGAAATCAAAACATTTAAAAAAAAAAATTTCATTAAAATTTAAAAGTCCTAACATTAATATTTTGAAGCAACTTCAGGCTCCTAAGGTTTTCCGTTTTTGAGTTACTCCAAAAAAACAAAATATTTTTTGTTGAATAGATTTTTCCTTTTTTTACGGTAATTCTAAAAAGTACTAAGAGTTTTTTTTTAATTTTTACCCTCCAAAAGTCCAAAGTACCAACTAGGTCCACTTCGCTACCAACACCATCTACAAAGTTAAAAATCGAAATATTTTTATTGCCTTAAAATTATAGACACAAAAATAGAAAGTGGGTAAGTGGATGTCACTCTGCCGTACAGTAGGTTACAAGTGGGGCACTGTAATGGATGGTGCTAAATTTTAATTCAACGATATAGTATCATTGTATAAGAAAAACGATTCTGGGTGAATACGGTCAGTCAGCCTATGATATTACTAAATATATTTGATGATATTAAGGTGAATAAAGTAATTTAAATATAACCTATTTACGTGGAATCTTGGTTTACATTTTCAATCCTTAGCTATAAAAGTTGAACATTTTATACATTTTTAACTACAAAATATTAGTAATAGTAGTATGATTTAGTATGTTCAGCAGCTCCTCCCCCTTAAATTTTACATGTAAAAGCATAGGCTTCTCTGTATAGGCAATTCGTAGTACAGGCTCCTCCCAAACTTGTATTAATTACTCAATATAGGCAACCCGCAACACACATAAACTCATCACACGCCACCCGATCCGACACGTGACCGACATATATTTTACGCCTTCCCCTTCAAATACATTACCTCCCCTTTTATTTACCCTTTTAAAAAATATATACAATATACTGATGTACATTTGTATCGACAATATCGAACACTTGTCCGACATATATTTTACCCCTTCCTAAACAAATATATTACCCCTTCTTATTTTCCCTTTAAAAATAAAAATATATAATATTCTGATGTAAATATGTATCGACTATATCATACATACAATACATACATGCTCATAATATCATATAAGGTAACAACATAACACATATCTAAAAATATTATGCCATTTTCAGATTATAATCCCATTCGAATAAACATCTCGCTAAAGCATACACCGCGATGTATCTCAAATATATTATAATATAGTTTACATATATAGGTACATACTTACATAATTTATATCCAAATAATAATTATATACTCATCATTATCACAAACTCCTGAACATATTATACAATTTACATAATATATACGATACTTAGGTATATTTATACATATAAATATGATATGACCAAACACTTAATAACTATAATATACTATGAAACACACGATACCATACGGTACTCATCAGTTTTCATTCTGAACACACGCTCAACATATATATATATATACCTTATCATACATACAAGCATGCATACACACACACACACACACACACACACACACACACACACACACACACACTCACAGCCACCCAGTCCTTTATTCATTCAATTACATATGAACTCTCATACACATACATATATACATACATACATACATACATACATACATACATACATACATACAAACATACATAAAAATAGTATACAGTTTTCTTATTATATAATTACATACGAAAAAAAAAACGAATCGCTAAAGCATACGTTATACACCGGAATGTATCTCAAACACACACATACATAAACTTGTAAAAATTATATTTTTCAAAATATACACGTTGAAGTATAGAGATATTCGCAGACAATCCTCTACCTGACAACATACAGAAATATATATAATATACGGGCAACCGTTTACAGATGTCGATGAGTTTCGTTCATCCTGTTCTCTAGCACATACATGCACATACACTCATATAACCATAGGTTAGTTCATACATATTTAGATACCCACATATTATATACATATTTAAATAATATTCTGAGCACCTTTTTACAGGGAAGTTTCATCAGTTTAAGCGTTGTATTCCACCGTGTAACACAACATTTCAAAAAGTAATATTACATTCATTATAACAAACACCTAAACATACTATAAAACTTACATATTATTGTATTATATATTATCATTTATTCCCATGCATGGCACATATATACAGAATTCATACATAAATAGGCACTTTCATATTATATACACCATCACACACATCTAATCTTGTTATACAACTTACATATCAATATAAGACACTTTGTTACATATAGACACACTCATACATGAAATACATACTTTAAAATACTTACTCACATTCACATAGATGCATTTAAACATTCCAATACATCCACCCTAAAAAGTATTTTCAAAAGTACAACATCACTCATCATTTGGTTGTACCTACTACTACAAAATTGTTATGCCCAATAATCATCTAGATACATCTAGATATCATCTAGGTAGTTCAATTCTATTAGATGAGACCATAGTACCTAAGCTTAAACATGCATATTATAGAAAAATATCTCAATTAAAATAGGTAGATCTACCTATATTTTATTCGGCTCAGAGGATTACTCGACAACATACACAAAATTATATATTTATGACACAATATTATATATTTATGTAACTAGTAGGTATATACAGACTAAGGAGAATAGAGGATATCGACTCTGAGGGTCTCAGACGTCGTCTTCGAGATACTTTGATCACTAAATGCAAAAATAAAACTATCATATTTTGACTTCACCGTTGATACAGTACATTTCATGTTAGAAATAATACAACATTTATTTTATTAAATTTGAATTAAACACAAATATGCTTATGCATCCTAACTTTTCATTTTAACCATATTATCCACTAGTCTATATTATATTTACCTAAACTCGCCTTATATTATATAATAATATTAAGGAATTATTATTTCCAAAATATTTACTTTTTAGTATAGAGTT